ATGTCACACTCTGGCCCTGTGGTTGGATAGAAATGACATAAAAATAATTATCTGCAGCATCGAGTACAAGATCCATCTCAGACCCAGCAAACAGCAGGGGCTGGGGTACCCTGGGGTGCTGTAGGCACCTCATCAGCTGGCCTAGGCTTTGTCCTCACATGAGTCTGATTCAGTCCCCATCAGCGCTGCCGGGCCAGGAAGCCCGGGCTGGTCTGCAGCCCTGGCCAGCACCAGGCACAGCCTGGGGGCCGCAAGGGTTTGCTTGAAGTCCAGCCCTTTGACTGATTTCCCCACACCCACACAGAAGGGATGTGCTTGTCTTTTCCTCTGGCTTACCTCAGGGGCACGGTCCTCTCCAGGCCCATCCAGGCTGCCCCAGACGGCCTGAGTTTATGTTCTGACGGGGACTGTCTGTCCTCTGCACCCCTCTTCACAGCTTGGCCATCGTGTGTGGGCTTAGGGGTCACAGGGGAGCAGGGCCTCACGGTGGGGTGTGTGCTCTGAGGGTGGCGCCTTGGCGTGGGCTGCTGGGTCCTGTGGCAAATCCACTTTCATTCTCTGAGAAACCAGACCTCTCCTGACTCCTGGAGAGTGTGCTCCCAGCCGTGTACTTCCACAGTCTGCCTGCTCTGCCCTTCATTCTTTCTCAGGTGAATCCTCTCACTGCCTCTGCACCTCTGGCCTATACCCCAGTTCTGTATGCATAAATAAATATTTAAAAAAGAATTGAACATCAGGAAATAACACAACTTTAAAACTGACAAAAACAGTGCTATAAGTCAACACCTCAAAAAAAAAAAAAAGTTGGACAAAAGAACTTAATGAGACTTCACCAAAGAAGAGACGTAGATGGCAAAAAATAAGATACCCAAAATCATTTATCATCAGGAAAAGCACAATAAAAACAAGACCGATAGAACATTACATACCGATTAGAAGCCAAACCTCCCCCCCAAAACACATAATACCAGGTGCTGATCAGGATGCGCACCACCAGAAAACTTGTAGAGGGAAAATGCTCTACTTTCCAGTTTTCCCAGGTTTTGTTATCCAGGGACAGGATAGAGGGGTTCTGGGGGGAAAAGCTGGAAACCTCACACCCTATAGGGCTCCTCATCTCCTCTCCTCTGAGCCGGGGTTCTCTGACTCTCACAGACCACCCCAG